TATATAAATTTTTTTAGACAATCATATCTTAAGTTTTTAGTCCATTAATTCAGTATTTCATCAAAAAATAATGTAGAAGAAAATCATATTTTCATTATATATATATATATATATATATATATATATATTCTCTAAAATTAATTCTGGTTTGTATATAGCTTTAAAATATATATAAGCATAAATATATTAAAATAATAATAATAATAATAAAACAATTGGAGCCTAGCAGGCTTGCCTGGGCTAGGGAAGATTGGCTCAAACCCTCTGAAAAAAAAAAAAAAAACTCTAAGGGTGCATTGTATGTAAATTACAAAGGGACTAATTAATTTGTCTCTCAAAGAAAGAAGGACCAAGAAGTAAAAAAAACATGAATAGGGAAGATGAGTCTTAAGCTATAGGAAATGAATAGTGCCACTTGTACTTCTTTTAGTTTTTTTTTTTTTATATATAATTTGTAAATTAGAAATATTACTAATATTTTATTCATGTCTATGCATACAGCATTTTTAATAATAGTTTTAAAGAAGAATGAGTCATTTTGAAGCATCTCTTATGTTCGCCAACACTCCATGCCAAGTATTAAATTGCTCAATATTGATGACACAAGTATGAGGTTTTGAAATGGCCATCAAAATATTCAAATCTGCCTTGTATCTTCTGCTAATTATAGAGTTGAGCTCGACTCTAACATCCCTAGCCAGACAAGGAGGCAAATCTATTAACTTGTTCTGCAATTTATTTGACGTATGAGAAGATCGAAAGGGACTAGATCATTAATATCTATTAACTTTAGTCGAAAGAAAGGTTGAAAAGAAAAAGTAAATAGAAAAGGTGAGATGGTATAGAATAGTGATGAACTGCTAATATTTCTGATGTGAAAAAAAGATATAAGAAAGGTATGGTCTATTCTAGGACGGAAATGGAAATTATTGAACAGTCATGCCATTTATGAACAAAGAATGAAGGAGGTGACAATTTGATGTTCTAACTACATGATTATTTCTTAAGTATGTCTACCTAAACTTGTTTCGTCCCGGCAACTGAAGAACACGTAGTGTTCGATGGGAAAATGTTGTAGATATTTTCTCTCTGCTTTTTCCTTAGTCAATCTCTATAGTTGGTTTCATGAGCAACCCAAATAAACCCAACAAGCCCCCCCCCCCCCCCCCCTCTTTTTCCCTTCATATGATGTCTTTAGATTAATTTTTATACATTTCAAAATTAATTCTTTTTTTATTATAGTTAAAGAGCATTATTTAACATAAAATGTCGAATATTTTAAAAATAAATTCTTAAAAACTTAGCCACAAGGATTAAATTTTAAACTTCGCTCACAAATCAATACTTATTTATCAACAACCTATCATTTTATGATTCTCATATTTTTTATTCTTAATCAAATATACATAATCGATGAGCGGTATATATATAAAGAAAAACCATCTTCGGTGTATAATTCAGGACCTAAGAGCTTCTTGATGAATAATAATAATATAAAAAAAAAGGTTAGTGTACCATTATAGGTAAAGGAGAAATGATAGGTTGGTTCCGTCTAGTACACCTGCATCCTAAAATATCTATAGTGATCAATGAATAAAAGTTTGTTAATGTTTTTCATAAAATAAATGTGAGAATAGAAAAACAAGATTTATGGGAGAAAAAGTGATTCATTTTGAAATTTCGTGGAGTTGTGGCTCTATTTTCATGGTCAAGATTGTATCACTGATCTATTTAGAAATTCTCCATCTTATGGTGAAGCAGATGCCCACATCTCATAAAGAGCACCAATCATTTCGATTGAGATTTTTTTTTTTTTCACTCCATCCTTCCTGCTTTTGACCATTAAGAGTGGGTCAGGATGTCTAATGCACAGGCTTGGAATTTTGACAATGGGCATTTAGTTTAATAAAAATCAGATATGATTCCTCAAGTTGTAAGATTTTATGACAACAAGTCCTCCACATTCTTGTTGTTTATTATTATCATTATATTAAATCCCTTATCTCAATTTATCAATAATTCAGTCCCTCCATACACTTATTTTTTAATGTACCTGAAAATACGTATAAGCCAGAAATTTCAAAAAAAAAAAGACTCAGTTTATCATAACTTAGAAATTAGAGGTTCAAATTGACAAAATAATAATAAGGATAATGATAAAAAAGTTCGAGACAGCACATTTCATTTTTATCTTCCAGCTTAATAGTATTCTTTCACCTAAATAATTTTATTTGAAATCCTACCCGTGACCGTTCTCCCTTGTGAATCCTTACATAAAAACCATGAATTTATTATCCAAGCTTGTTTGCTCATCGAAGTTAACCCAAAAAATAATTCTCGCATTAAAAAAAAAAAAAAGAAAGAGTTATCTATGTATTTGGTTGACAGTAAATTATAGATTAGTCTCTCTTGTTTTGAGAAATAAATTAATTAATTTTTTTTTATTTTAAAAACTAATCATTTAGTCTTTATGTTTTGAAATCTATTTGTAATTTAGTCTTTTTTATCCTTTTTTAATTTATTTTGATTTTTTATTTCAAAAAATAGAAAAAATATAAAATATAAAAAATATATGGGAAGATCGATGAGAAAATAAAAAATTTTATAGAATAAAATAATATAAATTAAATATGTTCAATACTGATAAAAGATTAAATAATAATTTTCAAAAAGAGAGAATTAATTAATTTATTTCTTAAAACGAAAAGGACTAATTTATAATTTACTCATTTGGTTGATATTGATTTATCTATCAATAACCTCGCGAAGTTAGTTTAATGATTAAGATGATGGTTCCATAGATGCGTACGAATAAGATGAATGTTTAGAGTCTAATTTAGGATAAATAACTCGATTTATTTTTATATAACAACAAAATTTTTTTAATATATTTTTGTGTTTTTAATTATATTTATTAGGTTTTTAAATAATATTTAAATTTCTAATTTATACTTATTAATTTTTCTGACCATAACAAAAATTTTTTTATCAAAATTCCTATGATTGAAATGCAAAAATAAATAAATAAATAAAATACTTAAAAAATAAAATATGCAGTTCATATGATTTTTTTTTGATATTTTAATCAGAGATATTTCGATAAAAAAATTATTTATTATCAAAATAACAAATTAAAAACTTAAATATTATTAAAAAATTGTATATATAATTAAAAACATTGAGATAAATTAGAAATTCGGACTATTACTCAATGATATATTTAACTATTTACTTTTTTATTTTCACTATTGATGGATGATTTACATATATATTAAGAAATTAGTTTGACCAATAGACTCAACAACTCCAATTATAAAATAAAAATGTTGGTATTCACCAATATCTATATTCATTAAAATTAACATGAATTGATGCCAAGAAAAATAAAAACCAACATGAATGCAACACCATCTAATAAATCAAAATCCAAAAAGTTCAAAAGAAAAGAAAAACAAATAAAATCGAATGGCATGAGGCATTACCAGCGTGGTTTGCATGGTCAAAAAAAAAAAAAAGAAAAAAAAAAGGAAATATAAAATTGGTAGCAGGCTAAGGTCTTTCCTGTGATCGAAAAAAAACGGGGAAAAATTCTTTCCCAATTAAGTCAGTTCTCACACTGTAGCTAGCTATCTCTTGTCAGTTTCATGATAGAAGAACAACTTCTCCAGCCAGGTTTTTTTTTCTCTTTACATTCTGTGTTTTAGCATGTTAATGGAGTTATAATTATGCCAAATTGGCCTTAATTTTTGCATCAATTGCTGGGTTTCTTGTTTCTTTGGTTAGTGTTTCTTTTCTTGACTGTTCTTTATATTTCTCAGTGTCATTTCTGGCTTTCTGTATTGTTTATGTTGATTGAATTTGGTACGGAAACATTTTTATGAAGTTTTGGATTCTGAATTTCTTTCCCTTTTCAGTAAAAACTCTGAGATTCTCTTTTGCTGCTAGGAACAAAGGAATAGGAATAGTATCAAGAATCTTAAGGCTGTGTTTGGTAATGTTATGAACTTTCTGGAATTCTCATGAACCGAACATTTTGCTCTAGTTTATAGGAAAATTCGACCTTGATGCTGCTTGATATACTAACAAAAAAATCAATTTTGGCTACGCAAAGTGCTAAAAAAAAAACTTCTGAAGCTATTGCAAGATTTCTGGCTAAAAAAGATTGTGGCTGATTTTGGGCATTTGAAGTATTTATTTCTCGTAAAGATCCCTGAATAGGAATGATCTACCCTTCAAATTTCTAAGATTTTATGACTGTACTGAGGCTTTGATGTGACATGGTCGATTGTCGTTCTGGGAATCGATTACTTCAGCATTTGAGGTATAACTTTGCATTTGTTTCGAGTATGAACAAAAACATGGTGGTGGTGTTCATTTGTTTGAGATATTTAGTCTTGGAAGGAAGGCAGGGTTGTAATGATTCAATATATAGCATAAACTGCCTGGCATGTCGTGTTATAATTACACGGTTTTATGCATATTAACCCTGTCTTGCTGCTGGTGGTAATTCTGCGGTCTTATGCATTTTCTTACTTCTAATAGCTCAAATTTTGGTGAAATGTGGAGATCTCTTCCCCACCTGCCCAGTTCCTTTTGACCTTATCTGATTTTATTTTTAGAAGTTTCTTTCGATGGTAGATCTCTTGTATCATTCAAGAGATCAAGTATTGTCTTACTGGCAAAGGTTTTATTGCTGCATTATTGAGGATGGATTCTGTTAAGCTTCTTTCTCTAGATTGATTTATTCGGAGTCATTGGCTTTTCTGAACTGGAATACTTCCTGCAACTGCTTCGGACTGGCTGATCCTATGAGAAAAATATGTTGTTTAACACTCCTAGAAGACTCATACACAGATGCACACATATGCACTGACTTCAACAGAATTTTGTTAGTTTGGTTATTTTGACATAGGCGCAGCCTTTCCAAAGAATATAATTGATTCTTATGCCATTGTTTTGATTATATTTCTCATGATCCTTGATTATTAGCAGAAGAAACTATGGAGGAAGGATCGTCAAAACCTTCAAATTTGTTGCGGGACAAAATTCGCAACTTGAAGCACACTACTATGGAAGAATTCAAAAGAAAGGCAATCTCACACTGGATTCTTCTAGCTTTGAGCATCATGGCAATGCTTGTGGCATTTCCTGCATCAAGTCTACTAACACGGGTTTATTATGCGAATGGGGGTGCAAGCAAGTGGATTATTTCATGGGTGGCAGTTGCAGGGTGGCCTTTAACTGCTTTAATTCTGCTTCCTTCTTACTTCTTTGTTGATAGTTCTCCCACTCCTCTGACCTTCAAACTCCTCGCTTCTTATATTGTGCTGGGTTTCTTAAGTGCTGCGGATAATCTTATGTATGCGTATGCCTACGCATACCTCCCAGCATCAACTGCTGCTCTTCTGGCTTCATCATCCCTAGTGTTTTCTGCTCTATGTGGATATTTTCTAGTGAACAACAAACTGAATGCTTCAATGATAAATGCTATTGTCTTAATTACTGCTGCTATGACAATTATTGCATTAGATTCGGATTCAGACAGGTATGATTATGTTAGTGATCGCCAATATATCATGGGTTTTATATGGGATATTTTGGGATCTGCACTTCATGGCCTCATCTTTGCTCTCTCGGAGCTAGTTTTCCTTAAGTTGATGGGGAGAAGATCCTTCCATGTTGTGTTGGAGCAGCAGGTCATGGTTTCTTTCTTCGGATTTGTATTTACCACCATTGGTGTTATTTTAAACAATGATTTTGAAGGGATGGCATCTGAGGCTAGAACATTCACGGGAGGTAAATCTTCATATATCCTGGTTCTTGTTTGGGGCGCCATTACTTATCAGCTGGGGGTATTGGGAGCCACTGCCGTGCTTTATTTGGCTTCGACTGTGCTGGCCGGTGTTCTCAATGCAATAAGGGTACCAATCACGGCTATTGCTGCTGTTATTTTGCTACAGGATCCCATGAGTGGTTTCAAGATTCTTTCCCTGGTAATCACATTTTGGGGATTTACCTCTTACATCTATGGAAATTCCTCAACTAGTAATAAAGACTCTCAATCATAATTTATTGGTAAGTTGTATTGTACAATATTCAGAAATGTGTAAAACAAATTGCTTAAATTTCTAGAGAAGGTTTTACGTAAATTGACGCTACTAAAGTGGTTTTTTCCTCCTCCACAGATTATCATAGATTGGACTAGCCAACCATTTTATAAACTGGATAACTATCTGATAATGTTATGGTCTGTGGAAGTGACAAAACAAAAGTTTTTGCTTGTCTGTTTAGAAAATGAGTTATCAGCATGGTTGTCACAGAAATAACCGAGGCTGACATCAATTTTTTGTAGAGGAGCAAGAATAACTTAAAAAGAAGCATATTGTTCTGTATAAATTGTAGCCTAAAAAACTGATACTTGATTTTTGCAGCCAAGGAAGACAATTTAATAAGATAGCGTCGGTGTTTAACACACGAATGCGGTAAATTGATTCATCCGAAAGCCTGAAAATGAGTAAAGGAGAAACAAAAGCTCGGTAATGTGGCAGTGTACATGAAACATGTTAGGTAGGTATGCACCATAACTAAAGCAGCCATCCCCTTGCCCTCATTGGCCATAGTCATCCATTAGGATCCAGAAACATGCTAGTTTCGAATTCCATATGTTTTCATGGATAATCTTATAAAATCTACTTCGAAATTTTAATTAATCATGAAAATTTAAACATTCGAAACTAAAATCAATTAATATTAAATTGTGAAAAAATTTTAATTGACTTTTGCCCATTTCTGAATCTTTTACTTTCCAAATTATTTCTATTAAGATCCTTTTTTATTTATTTTTTGGTTGATTGAAATCCTCTATTTGTCATTTTGTGTTGTTTAATGTCTTTTGTTATAACACTGTTAGTTGTGATGTTATGTAGTGATGATGTGACATGTCCATTTTTTAATAAGTGACTCATGTCATAGGTAGGATCCTAATATAAAAAAATTAGCATACATGAATTTGACTGCACAAACTTTAGAAAATAAAGACCAAAATATTTTTTTATAAGACATTGAGAACCAAAAAAATTATAAATAAAGGACTAAATTGTAATATATATATATATATATATATATATATATATATATATATATATATATAAGGAATAAAATAATTGTTTTTTGAAAATTATAGGGACAAAATGAAATATTTTAACAAATTATTTTTATCGAGTATTAAATGGTAATAAATAGACTGATATTAAAAAGTAAAAAATTCTAAATATTTGACTAATTCAAAATGGAAAACAGGGTTGTTTTGTAAAAAACAAAAAAATTGAGACTGCACCATTTTTTATATATACATAATTAGCAACTATTTAGTATTATTGTTTTTATTTTAATTTTGATGAACATATTTATGCTCTTTTTTTTTTAATTGCATGTTAGATTCATTTGTATGCATTTTATTATTTTTAAATTATTATAATATTATTTTTAAATACTTTTTAGAGTTTTACTATGATAGAATCTCACATATAATATATTTCACGACATTCAATATAGGTCTTAAAAAGCATAATAACATGAAAAGTAAATAATAATAATAATTTGATCCTCGTATTTTTTGAATTGTTTTGATTGAATCTCTTTATTGAAGCTTTACGTTTAACACATGTCACTCATTCAAAAAATGATGTGCCATGCCAATGTGATTTCTGCTCACAACTAATGGTGTTATAAAAAAAGATCTCAAACAACACAAAATAGAGAGTAGAAAGTCTCGATAAACATAAAAAAAAAAAAGAAAAAAAATACAAGGTCTCTGTCAAAATAATACAAAAGTAGAAAGTCCAAGTAGGGGCAAAACTGTTTTTTAATTTATAATATATTTTGTAGTATTTAATGTCATACACATATTTTATCTTTGAGTTTAAATATATTTTATATATATCTTTGATCCTGATAATTAAAAAAACATGCAATTAATTATTTATTTAACCAAAATATCTAATAAAAAAAGTCAATAATTGGAAAAAGTCTAAAATCGAGATCGAAATGTTGCTCGAACAACCTATATTAGAAGGATGCTTAATTTTAATCAACGAGTCCATAATTTTTTTATTAAACCTTTTATTTTATTTTTTCTTTGTATTGCTCATCGATGTAATTTTGAACATTAAATTCAGTTTTTTCAAATGTTATCATAAATCTACATAAGAAAATGATCTTCTTAAATGATCAATTATTCTATATGTTTATACTACTTTAAAAAATAATGAACCACACTTTTCAGACACGTTGGAGAATTATAATCATGTTTGAAGTGAGATATAATCCATTGAAATTTAATATAAACTATAAATAATAAATTATTTAAATATATATTTTTTAAATGCTAATCTATCTGCAGTACTAATTTGTTTTTTTTTTTTTAAGAAAAAAATTGGTGCTATGCCGACTCCATTTTAGTGTTATTGCTGAAAAATATCTTGAAAACCATGCACTTTAGATCGGTTAATTATCGACCATGAAACCTTTATTTTCATTAAAAAAAACTTTATAATAAGCCATTATTTTTTTTGTAAAGTTGCATGAAAAATTATTATTTTTACTGTAATAAGTACTATCGACATCAATTTAAAAGGAACACAAAAAATGAAAGTCATGAGAAATAAAAATCATTATTTTCTTATAAGGTAAGATGAAAATCTAAAAATAATAATTAATTCTTTATGATATTGGGGAAATTTTGATTTTGAGCAAGTAATAAAAGATGGGGAAAAAGGTAAATGAAGGTAACTAAGATAATTTCTCTAACAAAAACCTAGGCCTCGACTGGATGCGCATCAAATCCAAAACCTTTAAAACAGAAAATAAAAGGGACGGCCGACGCGTCACTACAAGCCACCCGTTGCAATTTTCAGCGACCAGCGAAAGGCTATTCGTTTTAGCTAGATGTGTTGGCTTGGTTATTCGATTCTATATCGAAATATTTTAACTGATTTTTTGTTAATTAATTTTTTTAAAAAAATAATCGAAACTGAACCGAAATATTATTCGGTTTTTTATTCGATTTAGGTATATCGATAATTTAATTTTTATCCATTTTATTTACAAATTGTTGATTTTATTAAAGTTCGAAATCTCGTTTAGAGTGGGTTTTTTTTCGCTTTGTGTATTACTACTTAGGAAATAAGTTGCACCAAAAAAATAGTAAATGCATTAGTAGATAAACGAATAATAAATTGTTTAGTCAAAAAGGTTTGAATTTGAGACGATAGAAAATCTATTAACGTCTTTTCTATTTTATATACGTCTATACTTATAGCAAAGACAAAAAGAGCACGTATGAATCTATGGGAGGAAGTGCATCTAGAAGAGAAAGATTTTTCAATTTGGAAAAGTACTCGAGTGATCTAACTTAAAAAACAATATACATGTATATATTTCGGTTAACCAAAATTTTTTTAAAAAATAACCGAAACCGAACCCGAAAATCAAAATTATTTCGGTTTGGTTTTTTATTTTAATTTCTAAAAAAAGCATCGAAATTGATATTTTGGTGCGGTTCGGTTTTGTTATTTGGTTTTCACCGAATAGTGAACTCCCTAGTTTTAGCCCTTCAAACGCAATTTCTCTTATCTTTTTTACCTTAAAATCATATCCATAACATGTAAAACTATTTTCTAACCTCAAAATAAATTTAATTCACTCTAAAAACTAAAAATAAATTAATTAATTAAATCCAAAAGACCAAATATTTTTTGGGACCTCAATCTATTTTTTTCCGATTGTTTGGAGAGCTAAAATAACCATCAACAAACTCCTCTTGTCAAGAAGAACAAGCTGACAACAAGATCACGAGTTAACATGGCTAGAATAGAGCTTCTCTATGCTTTCCTTCTCATTCCTTTACATCGGGGACCTTGTTGGAACATAAATAAAGCTATAGAATTTTTTGTACAAACCTAGAAATGCAAGGATTTAAGTTAAAAAATTGCAAAAAACACTTAAAACTTTCGCCAACCACATCATTTCATAAAAATAAAAAGAAATTATGTTGTAGGTGGACATCGGATCGACAAGATAAAATAGTAAAATGATAGAAAAACAAGTTGTCACTTAATATTAAAGGTAACTAGAAAACTTAGTTTTCTTGTCAATTCATAAATCACTACCGGAAATTCGACAAATAACGACGGATTTTTCCTTCGTTATATGTTAAAAATCCATCAATTTATACAATTGGTGACAGATTATAGACAATACTAAGTCCGTCGCTAATATGGTCGTCGTTATTTCCTTAGAGACAAAAGTTTTTTTTCCATACCTAATTAGCGATGGAAAATCCATCACTAATTTGTTGAATTTTCGTCGCTAAACCTATCTAAAACAGACGTCTATAAGGTCTTATATCCATTGTCATATCATCACTAGTTTCACTTATATTCATCACTAAATAGCGACGGAATAGGTATCTCTAAATTATAGTCGCTAAAATCCTCACAATTTCGTCGCTAAATCTATTGCTATTTTAGTGATCGTATATGTCTCTGTCAATAAATATCCTCATAATTACGTCGTTAAATGAAGTGATTTTTAAATCAATAGCTGTATATTGTTAATTGTAATAACAAACAACTATAAATAACACTTTATTAAAATACGATATATGATTTAATAAAATTAAAATAATATAAATTGAAATAAAATAATTATATAAATGCATTGAGGTATACAAAAACATGAAAAACTTTTTTTAAAAGACAAGAAATTTAGTTCTCATTATCAACATCTCATACATCATCTTTCGGTTGTTGAGTGTTGGGAGGAATGATTGACTCTAGGGTTGTGGGAGGGTCGGCGGGAGGGATGTGAGTATAATGTATGTTTTATAACAACCCAATCATTGTTTGCAATCGACTCGTATGGTACTAACTTAACTAGCATGTTGTTGTATGGTAGCCTCTATCCCCCTTAATCTTATCTTTGTACTAATAGAAACCTCTTAGATATTATCACCGAATATCGCGAAGTGATAGAGGAGGAACTAGCACTAGAATATGAGTGATACTTG